GTATCCACTGTAGGCCTGACACACCCGCTGGCAGACAACTAACAGCTATTCAATCTATAACAGTGAAAAAAGTTTTTGTTTTTAAATGCAAGCTATTGTGACACTAGTGAGTGAGTGGTGGCACTGGGCACAGTATCCACTGTAGGCCTGACACAGAAGCTGGCAGACAACTAACTGCTATTCAATCTATTATAGTGAAAACATTTTAATTTTTTTTAAATCCAAGCTATTGTGACACCAGATGTAAGTGGTGGCACTGACTGGGGAAATGGCACAGTATGCACTGTGAGCCTGACACAGAAGCTGGCAGCAGTGGCAGACAACTAAGTGCAATTACATTACATAGAAAAAATAAATAAAAAAAAGCATACCCTTATCCCTAACCTAGCTATGCTTTTCCCTATCTTATGAACAGCAGCTACACTTTCCTCCTCTTACTAAGCATGCAGCTTGAGAATGAATCTAAAATGGATGCTGTCCAGTAGGTGGGAGGGTCTGCTAGGGAGGCTGTGCTGCTAATTGGCTGGAATGTGTCTGCTGACTGTGAGGTACAGGGTCAAAGTTTACTCAATGATGACGAATAGGGGGCGGGTCGAACCGCGCATATGTTCGCCCGCCGTGGCGAACGCGAACATGCTATGTTCGCCAGGAACCGTTCGCCAGCGAACCGTTCGGTACATCACTACTAAGATTAGTCCAAAATTATTTGACGTGTTTTCCGACACGTTATGTTGGCTACTCCTCAACATTTCCAAATGCCCATCGGTCATACATTATCTAGATTACTTACTCACTATAGAAAGCCTCTGTCCACACCTATTAGCATTCATAAGACAATGGCTCTATTTCAACTAGAGGTGTTAAACTTCTCAGGACAAACAGATGGCCCTACGACTAATCTTACTGTACCAGGACTTCATCTAGACTCAATCTTGTTACAAGCCATACTGACTAGAGTACGGTTCCTCTAGATACACACGCTAAAGCAGACCTACCCATGTGGCTTAGCTTTCTATCTCGGTGGAATGGTAACGCAAAACTATTCCCCCCATCTCTGAACATCCCCAGTCATGTGGACCGGTGCTGCAGCCCATACAGGGTTCGCAGCTATCTTGGTGACTCCTGGTTCAGAGATTCTTGGCCAGTTGAGACCCGTGTCCTACCCTCGTTCCACACTACATCAGCTGAATTTGAAATCTACCCTATTGTGGCAGCATCCAATGCCTGAAGGTACCTGTGGTAAAGAAAAGCAGAATGTTTTCCTGACAACAAAGCGGCTAGTGACATCATAAATAAGGGCAGATTCTCATCACTAAACATCATGTAACTAATTAGAAGAATGACATGACTAGGAGCTACACTACAATTTTATTTTACATGAATACACATCCCTGTTCGCATTAACAGAGCTGTTAATGCGTTGTCTAGTTCTAATTTGCAGGATTTCTTCAGAGCACACCCTACAGCCAACATCAATTCGGTCAGCACTCCCTCATACCAAAACTTAATCCTGGACTAAATCGCCTCATGGCTCACAGCTAATACCTGACCAGCTCTGCTCTCTCTACACCGCAGACTCACAATAGGGCTTTTCACGCTCTATACCAAATCCACTTCTATCAGATCAGCGACACACATTCCCTAGTTTATCACTTTTTGCCACCTTAATTTAAATTATCACAATACATCTGTAATGGAGCTCCCCGTACTCCGACCGAGTACCCTCCATTGATGGACGCTTCCTAGCTTGCGCCGAGGACCGCGAGCACCGTACCGGACACCACAACCACTGCAGACTTCGCAACCGCCGTAGCTTGATTGGAGTCTCAGCTTCTGTCCTCCAGGACCATGTGGGAAAGACCTCTTCCTTCCACCCTGTATGAACCTCCAGCATCCAGGACTGTGTGGGGAAGACCTCTCCTCCAAGGAGAGCGTAACAGGAACAGCTCTTAAAAGAGCTAAGTGATTAAGGCTCAAGGGAGTATTCAGAGCATATCCCCAGTGTGAGTATAGCTGTCCCCTCCTATCACGAGACAAGACTACGTGTTGAGGGTCAAGAAGAACTGTCTAAAACTTTATTTTACTTGGGACTAGCCCATATGGTCATTACATTAACATTGCTGTGAAAACTCAATAAAATTACAAACAGTCAAATCATAGCAGGCAACATACAGTGACCTATTATAACACAATGGCATTTTTTAAAGGGGTGGGGGAGACAATAATTAACAGGAAATATCTCACGTGCCTGCAGAATTAGCAATGTGCAAATCTACCCAAATGTGCAAATGAACCAGTCTTTCTATTCAGGTAGTGCATATTGCTGTTGCTACCAACAGAGGGCACTAGACAAGCTCCTTAGCCAAATCCACCTATTTGGTAGCAAACCTCAGCAGTACAGGAGAGCAGGCAATACATTTCACAGTACACACTATAAACAATTACATTACACACACCCTGCACCTATAATGGGTACAGGGTGACTAAAACATAAGAGAAATAAAGCAACCTACATAAATAGTCTGTCTGAAGGTAGAATAGGGGCTTTAAAGCCAAATACATCAAAGTGTCATAGCCACATGGTAGAAGACTGGCCAACAGGCTTCTCCATAACCCAGGGAAGAAGGGCAATTTGTCACACGAAAAACCAGTTATAAAAAGCAGTTTGTAACAACACCTACCTCCAATAAACTCTACCTCACAGGGATACATTGTCACATCCTAAGTGCCTAACCTACCACGAATCCTTTCATGTCAAGAATACAGTGAAAGGCATCCAACATTTGGGCAAAAACACTACCACTACTAAACAACCTATTGATGGGCCTAAATTTCACACACTTTCAGACATTCTAGACACCAATTCATTTGAAACCAGCACTAATCTGATAATTAAAATGGCAGCCTATCGAGGGCGTGGCCTGACACCGGACTGAATGGACGCTTTCTAATGAGGCTCCTGCAGAACGAGTTCCATAGGGCTGAAAATAACCGGTCTAACTAGTGAAGCAAACTGCAAACTAGCTCACAATACTGCTAAGATGTCCCAGAGGCAAAAGGCAAAAGCAGCAAAAGCTGACAGAGCATCCTTCTTCCTGGCTAAATCATCCACAGCACAGCCGCGGAAAGGCCGCAGCCCGATTAAAGATGGCGGCGACACGCACTCAGAAGGGGAGCCCCCTCCGTCCCCGGGATCCTCGGATGTGGGACCAGAGGATGACCTGCTCACAATAGTAAGCATGAAAAAGATGCTGGCAGTGCTCACGGGCAACATACAGTGCAATATGGCTGCACAATTGCAAACCCTTAAAGCGGACCTCCGGAAGGAGATACTCGAATTAGGCCAAAGCACTGTACAGGCCGAAAAGCGGATGGACGAGTTTGTGGAGGCCCATAATAGCCTTGCAGATAAACTGCAAGAAATTGATTCCACCCTACACGTCCACGCACTGAAAATGGCCGATATGGAAGACCGTTCGAGGCGCAACAACCTGCACATACGGGGCATCTCAGAATCAGTCCTAAACTCGGCCCTGAACAACTACAGTCAAATCTTTGCACTGTACTCCGCCCCCTCAGCCAGAGTTCACCAGGCAGGATTCCTCTTAGACCCATTTGACCTTACAAACGGGACTCGCCAAGGGTGCCCCCTATCCCCTCTATTATACGTATTAGCCCTAGAACCACTCTTGGCCTCAATACGAACCCACCCTGACATAACCGGTCTTAGAATTGGCCCAAACGAGATGAGGATTAGTGCCTTTGCTGACGACATACTCTTATATATATCACACCCGACCTCATCATTGCCCCACATTATGAAACTCATTCAAACCTACTATTCCCTTAACACCTCCAAAACTCAGGCGCTTAGTGTGGGCATACCAGAGACTGACCTGAAAACCCTACGAGAGACATACCCCTTTGATTGGAGGAAACAGGACATCACCTATTTAGGGCTCCTTTTCACCAAAAAAATCAACAGAACTATACTCAGGTAACCATATGAGAATATGGAAGGAATGTAAGCTACAACTTCAGAAATGGGCCCCACTTTATCTATCATGGATGGAAAGAGTAGTGGCAGTGAAGATGTCGATCCTTCCCAAATTACAGTATATTTTTAGAACTCTCCCAATATCAGTTCCGAATTCCTTCTTTCAATTGATACAAAAGGATATGGACAACTTTATCTGGGCAGGAACCAAACCGCGAGTAGTGAGGAAAATATTACAAACACCCAAAAAGAAGGGGGGAATAGGGTTACCTGATATGAAAGCGTACTATCACGCATCCATACTGACCCCGCTCCTGACCCACTATATAGCTAAACCGCCTCCCCAATGGGCGGAGATAGAGAAAAACCTCCTAAAACCTTATGCATTAGCCGATCTCATGTGGCTGCCAAAGAAACATAGGCCACCTCTGACCCACTCTCCTGACCTCATTACACTGAGACTCCAAATATGGGACAGGCATAGGGCCACACTCAGCTCAAAGACAACACTATCACCAGCCACGCCGATAGCGGCCCTACCTTATTGCATCCCTACCTTCCATGCCAGACCATGGCTAGACAAAAAATTAACACACATATACCAAGTCCTGCAACAAGGGGAATTAATGGATTTCGCCAAATTAAGAGACATGCATAGTCTCCCTCAGGCCTCACTCTTCTCACACATGCAGCTAAGTTCGTTTCTCCGCAAGCTGTCAACTGTGGAGACACGATCAGACCCTGCGAATAAGCAAATCACAGGGTGGGAGCAGATATGCATAAATGAAGCCTTACCACCCTTATGTAAACCAATCTCCATGTGTTACCGACTCCTAGCGAACTGTCTACCATTTCCCACCACAAAAATTGCACAACAGTGGGCCACAGACTTAGATGAGGATATCACATCCCATCAATGGCACACTCTATTCCAGGATGTAAACCAATTGCTCAAATTCTCCACCCTAGTAGAGCAACAGCGAAAAAACATATATAGATGGTACATGGTACCCACGAGACTCCATAAATGCTACCCTCATAGTCCCCCCACCTGCTGGAGATGTGAGGAGTTAAGAGGAGATGTTCTCCATATTTGGTGGCACTGTTGCACCCTTCGGCCATTCTGGATAGCGGTCCATGACCTCTTACAGGAGATGACGGGCTGTGCCTTAACATTTACGCCCCAAACATACATAACCTTGCTCTTACCAAATGGGCTACCCAAGGCTACAAAGAAACTCATATACCATGTCATCCTCTCGGCACATAGAGAGGTTGCGAGAGCATGGAAAACTACACTATGCCCACCCATATCTAAATTGCTCTCAGAAATACAAGATCAAAGATCATTTGAAGGAGCTTATAGCAAACTGTGGCCTCCATCTCGTACAACGACAAAATCATGGGAGATATGGGACACATGGAGATCGGGTCAATCTGTACAAAGAGTGCCAATGTCAGGGGATTGAACTAAAAATAACACTAACACTATATTAAAACTAAGCAAATGTATTGGTTGTGCCTATTGCCACCTCTCATGGCTCTAGGCTGTGAGCTATGTATTATGTGTTAGGTATTAAACGTGCCCGTTATGCCCCACCAAGGGTGAGGTACCACGATACACCTGACATTGTATGACATTGTATGGTATAAAATGTCACTGAGAATGTAAATCATGCTATGAATCTGTTCTGAACACAAAATGTGACTACTGCTGGAACCCCCTGCACCCCCCCATCCCTCCTTTCCTTCTGTACCCCTACCCGCTCCTCCCCTCTTTGTTCTCGTTATGGACATTGTTGAATATATAAAACTGTCAATAAATATTGTCAAATTTAAAAAAAATGGCAGCCTATCAAGCCTTCTACGGCTTCTTAAAAAATTAAGAGCCTACAAAAGATACTGATCATTAGATACTTACCATTGATCATTATATACTTACTTACAATTAGGTCCTCCTACTGAAGTATGCTACTACTCAACCAGTAATCACTGGTGTCCAGTTAAATTACTGGGCTCCTGTTGATTGTCTAGATGGTCTAAACCCAAGTACGCCATTACTCTGTTACATGGCAAACTTCTGACCACCATTAAATTCATTTTATATATTAGAACACTTTTATAAGACTTAGTCTTGACCCCTCTGTTTTTCTGGCCACTCCTTCAGAATTGGAGACGCTACCACGGCTTCAAGCCACAATGTACCTGCTCATATAATTAGGTGATTAGAGCGCTGGAAGTCAGCAGCATATGCCAGATATATACCACATCTATAACAGGAATTAAGATTAGCATTTAAAGATTTAGCTTTGTAAATATGTGTGTGTTACAAACTGCCATTTGTAACTGTTATTTTATTTGACAAATTGCCCTGCTTCCCTGTGTTATGGAGAAGCCTAATTGCCAGCCTTCTGCCCCATGACTATGGACCTAGTGTGTATGGCGATTTGACTGTATTTGTGGGATCTGAGCGCTGTTTGGATATATTGAGCGCTCAGATCCAAGCCATCTGGGGATAGGTTGAATGTGGGGGTTCTGTTCAGTTCAATAGGAGTTATGTCTTTTTGTGTCTTTTGCTAACATGTGGTTAATGGAGTCTGCCTCTATCCCTGGATAATTGGATTACTTTCCCCATTGTCCAGGATAGAGGCCTCTGTAAAACCGGTTTGGGCCAGAAAACCATGCTGCCAGCCAGGCCCCAAAAGACACTTTTGCTAACTTTTGAACCCCTTGTCTGATTTGTGCCATTTTTTAATATGTTGCTCCCCTTAATGGATTGATTCCAAATATGTAATTTTTATGAAGATTGGATGTGTAGTTTGGAAGTTATAGTACATGTATAAAAACTGTATTTTTACTGTTCTGTTTTAATTATGTTATGTGATTATCTGAGGGATGGGAATTTCCCCGAATGTATATTGTTCCGATTGGTTATACTGCTAATTATTTGGGTGTCTCCCTTGCATGGGCAGAATCTCATAAAAGCAGAGTGTGTGCCATTAAACATCAGATCTTCTTGACCCTCAATACGTAGCCTTGTCTCGTTATTGGAGGGAACTGCTATATCACACTGGGGATTGCTATGCTCTGCATACTCCCCTGAGCTTTTAATCACTTAGCTCTTTTAAGAGCTGTTCCTGTTACGCTCTCCTGGAGGAGAGGTCTTCCCCACACGGTCCTGGAGGACAGAAGCTGATCCAGGGTGGAAGGAAGACGGTGAGACTCCAGTTAAGCTACGGCGGTTGTGGAGTCTGCGGTGGTTGTGGTGTCGGCTGCAGTGTTTGGAGTCCTCAGGAAGCGCTAGGAGCATCCATCAACGGAGGGTACTCGGTCGGAGTACAGGGAGCTCCGTTACAGTGTGTAATAAAGGTTATTTGTATAAATCAACTTATTGCCCTCTTTTATTAAAGGCCTGCGCCATACATCGGTTCCGGCACAACACAACCAACTGGTGCTTACTTCTACTTATATTGTATTGTTATTATTACAGCTTAATGTCCACAACTACAAATATAAAGACGTAGCCTTTAATTATGGAAGGGGTTAACCGGCTATAAAAACTCAGGCCCCCTCCATGGCAGAACCGTCAACGCTGGGTTCATCCCTCCCACCTCTCCCCTTTATCACAATTCATCGATGGGCCCTCTTTTATTACAGGCCTACCCCATAAGTCGGTTCCGGCACACCACAACCGACTGGTTCTTACTTCTACTTATATGGTATTTTTATTATTACGGCTTAATGTCCCCGACTACAGATATGTTATATATAAATATATAACTTACTTTCTTGTTAGGTACCAGATTTAAAGGATTATGGTTATGGTTTCAAGTTAGCATTCAGTGTTCCAATCTCAGATAAACAGTGCACTGCATTAATTGAGCAAGTAACATCATAGCCCAGGGGAAGGCAACCTTCGGCACTCTAAATGTTGTGGATACATTGTAACAGACCCCCCTGTTTTTTTCATTGGATCTGTAATATACAGGGAGTGCAGAATTATTAGGCAAATGAGTATTTTGACCACATCATCCTCTTTATGCATGTTGTCTTACTCCAAGCTGTATAGGCTCGAAAGCCTACTACCAATTAAGCATATTAGGTGATGTGCATCTCTGTAATGAGAAGGGGTGTGGTCTAATGACATCAACACCCTATATCAGGTGTGCATAATTATTAGGCAACTTCCTTTCCTTTGGCAAAATGGGTCAAAAGAAGGACTTGACAGGCTCAGAAAAGTCAAAAAATAGTGAGATATCTTGCAGAGGGATGCAGCACTCTTAAAATTGCAAAGCTTCTGAAGCGTGATCATCGAACAATCAAGCGTTTCATTCAAAATAGTCAACAGGGTCGCAAGAAGCGTGTGGAAAAACCAAGGCGCAAAATAACTGCCCATGAACTGAGAAAAGTCAAGCGTGCAGCTGCCACGATGCCACTTGCCACCAGTTTGGCCATATTTCAGAGCTGCAACATCACTGGAGTGCCCAAAAGCACAAGGTGTGCAATACTCAGAGACATGGCCAAGGTAAGAAAGGCTAAAAGACGACCACCACTGAACAAGACACACAAGCTGAAACGTCAAGACTGGGCCAAGAAATATCTCAAGACTGATTTTTCTAAGGTTTTATGGACTGATGAAATGAGAGTGAGTCTTGATGGGCCAGATGGATGGGCCCGTGGCTGGATTGGTAAAGGGCAGAGAGCTCCAGTCCGACTCAGACGCCAGCAAGGTGGAGGTGGTTTGGGCTGGTATCATCAAAGATGAGCTTGTGGGGCCTTTTCGGGTTGAGGATGGAGTCAAGCTCAACTCCCAGTCCTACTGCCAGTTCCTGGAAGACACCTTCTTCAAGCAGTGGTACAGGAAGAAGTCTGCATCCTTCAAGAAAAACATGATTTTCATGCAGGACAATGCTCCATCACACGCGTCCAAGTACTCCACAGCGTGGCTGGCAAGAAAGGGTATAAAAGAAGAAAATCTAATGACATGGCCTCCTTGTTCACCTGATCTGAACCCCATTGAGAACCTGTGGTCCATCATCAAATGTGAGATTTACAAGGAGGGAAAACAGTACACCTCTCTGAACAGTGTCTGGGAGGCTGTGGTTGCTGCTGCACGCAATGTTGATGGTGAACAGATCAAAACACTGACAGAATCCATGGATGGCAGGCTTTTGAGTGTCCTTGCAAAGAAAGGTGGCTATATTGGTCACTGATTTGTTTTTGTTTTGTTTTTGAATGTCAGAAATGTATATTTGTGAATGTTGAGATGTTATATTGGTTTCACTGGTAATAATAAATAATTGAAATGGGTATATATTTGTTTTTGTTAAGTTGCCTAATAATTATGCACAGTAATAGTCACCTGCACACACAGATATCCCCCTAACATAGCTAAAACTAAAAAACAAACTAAAAACTACTTCCAAAAATATTCAGCTTTGATATTAATGAGTTTTTTGGGTTCATTGAGAACATGGTTGTTGTTCAATAATAAAATTAATCCTCAAAAATACAACTTGCCTAATAATTCTGCACTCCCTGTATGTTGTAACAGATCCCCTCTGTGTTCGTTCGTGGGATCTGTACTTTCTGTGAACTGCTCATTCGTTTCAAAACCTTCATATGAACTGACTGCCATAGACTACCATACAATCTGTTCAAAAGTCCCGAATTATCTACCGAATGTTCCGACCACCCAGATGATAAGTGTGTTCCCCATTAATGTTCGCAAGAATGTTGCCGTTTCATAATTAGCACTCAATTCCGCGTATGCTTTGTTCTCTGGGTGGCCGCCAATTCGGGAGACGAACACATGGCGGCGGCCATCTTAATCTCCCGAACATCGGTGTTTGGTCGTCGAGTGTCTGGAACTCAAATTGGACACTCGACCAAGCAAACACCGCTGAAACCTCCAGAGTGCCAGAACCGATGGAAGGAA